ATAATAGATTGGCGCTTACACATATGTTAGTGTTTGGCCGAGCTTCTCCTCCGATTTGTGGCGTGCGCCTTGATGTTGTCACACAAAGCGGAGGGACCTACAACGCTGACTTCGAACGGTGATTGTATTTTTATGAGAAGCTGTTTTTCATGGCAGAAATACATTCGGAGGTTTGCCATTGCCTGCCGAGGGACGACCGCTGTTAAGAAAAACCTTTTTTCTATATTTTTGCGATGTTGCTTTGACCAGGGCTTGAACCCAGGCATTGTGGAGTGGAAGCGCGCACTGCTTACCACTACACCACAGCGACCGACTAATCCGACCGACCAATCGTGTAACACTGCCTTAAAAGTAGATATGCCAACGAAAACACTTGATGCACTTTAGAAGATCTAACAGCTTCGATTTATTTGATGGCAATTATAAGGATCCTGCCCCAGTGTAATACGGTACGAAAACAAGTTTGTTAGAAAAAGGACTTTGAAGTTTGCAAGTGAATTAAAAAAAAACGAATTGCACTAAAACGGCGGTTACTGTTGCATTAGAAAAAGCGTAGCATCTACTGAAAGAATCCCTAAAATTAAGTTAAGTTTGTTTTACCCCTAGGTCCCTTTTAACTTTTTCTGTCACGTATTGTAGATATATAGTATATATAAATTTATAGTAGTATGAATGTATTTATATAGATGTATTTGATCTCCGTTTTTTTTTATTTCAGAGTCATGCCGAGCATTTGCCGTTTAAATGTGATTATTGTGCTAGACTCTTTAAACACAAAAGATCAAGAGATCGCCATACAAAGCTGCATACTGGAGATCGCCGTTACCGCTGCCCACACTGCGAGGCGGCGTTTTCCCGAAGGTAATACATTTTCACGAGTTCTTATCAGTTAAGTTTTTTATTTATTGTAACCCAACAAAAGTTAAAGTAACGAGAAAGAAGGTAGTGGCCTGGCTATACTAATTTCCGTAAAATCCTTGCCAACAATTGGTGAGCAGTGTTGCCGTTGAGAATTTTCAGAAAGTCGCAAAAAAGGGGCCATTGACGAAAACTAGAGTCACCATATCAGTTTTGCTTTTCCTTACTAGTAATAGAATAAGTCTGTTGAACTTGAAAAGAAAATAGCGGGACAAACTTTTCACAAAACAGGGTTGCAAACGTACACATAAATCGAGAAAAGTTGCATTTCCCTTAAAAGTTTTAAGCGATGCATGTTTTCGTACTTACAGGAGGAAATATTTTTTAATAGCATGGTTCTGTTAACATTTCTCAAAAAAATCTCTGAAACGGGGAAAAGTCGCACATAATTTTGGAAAAGGGTAAAAAAATAAAAATTTTCAAAAGCTCAAAGGTTATTGGCACTTAAAAAGGGTCAAATTGCCCCTTTAATCGCACAACGGCAACACTGTTGGTGGAATGGAATCGGCANTAAAAAAATCTCTGAAACGGGGAGAAGTCGCACATAATTTTGGAAAAGGGTAAAAAAATAAAAGTTTTCAAAAGCTCAAAGGTTATTGGCACTTAAAAAGGGTCAAATTGCCCCTTTAATCGCACAACGGCAACACTGTTGGTGGAATGGAATCGGCACTGGGCATTGTTCCCAACTGGGTAAAATAAAATAGGACGGGAGTTTACCCTTTTAAAACCGAACTTGTCTTGTTCATAGGGAAAACAAAAATTCCGGAATTCCCCTTACCAAAGCTGGACGGTACTAATCTGAACCCTTCCTCCNCTTTAATCGCACAACGGCAACACTGTTGGTGGAATGGAATCGGCACTGGGCATTGTTCCCAACTGGGTAAAATAAAATGGGACGGGAGTTTACCCTTTTAAAACCGAACTTGTCTTGTTCATAGGGAAAACAAAAATTTCGGAATTCCCCTTACCAAAGCTGGACGGTACTAATCTGAACCCTTCCTCCGAGGTGAAATACTTAGGTATTGTCCGTGGCTCCAAACTTACATACTTGAACATGATCATTTACTTAAAACTACCACACGTATTTGTAACAGGTACAGCTGCCGAAGGGGCCCTTAGACTGGGGGAAACAAATTTGTGGAAGCAGACCAACTACGGGTATGCAGCGTTCTTGAAGGTAATTAAAAGTGGACGTCGTAATGGAATCAAGGCCGACTTAGACTGCGAAACTGGTTACCTCACATTAGCCTGGGATTTAAGTTTTAAGATTCACATACACTTTCCAACCCGGTAAGATTGGGAGGTTGCCTCCTGTCGGTAAATTCTGGTATTTCCACCTACACCGATATCTCAAAAATGCAAAAAGGAGTCCTGTCGGGTTTGTACTCCAAGAATCTTCAAAAAGGGCTTACCGCCTGCCAGATAATTGCAGTGCCTTTCAGGCGGAGAAATTAGCCACAGGTAAAGGGGTTTGTCCCATACAAGATATTAAAAATCTCTGTCAGGGTAGTCACTATATTCGTTGACAGCCAGGTGGCATTAAAAACATTAGGCTATAGAGTGGTAAAGTCGAAAGCAGTTCCGAAATGTCGTGTAACGCTCGTTTAACTGAGTCACATCAATTCCAATTTCTTCTGGGTCCTGGACATAGCAACCACAGCCGTAGCCAATGACCTTTGGATCCATTGGGACGACTGTGAGATCTGAGGATCCTCGCGGCCGAGACTCAATAACAGCCGTACTGAGAAACTATTGACAATAAACAAATCTACAGTAAGCGATCATACCGGTGTCATGTGCTATAGCACAAATGCTCCATCGATGGCGTATACCAACAAGCGCCCGCTGCAGTAGTTATCGGGATGAGAATGAAGAAGAATCGATGCACCACTTCTTATGTCAATGCACGGTTGTCCAGAAAAGGATCTAGCGCGTTGGTGTCCTTGTCGCGGGGCTAGATCTTAAGTGGTGACATGGGGGCCCTTAAGGGTTTCTGAACTAAAAGGGATGCTCCGCATGGGAACCTGTGTAGGACATGTGCTTCCGCAGTTTCCGATGTGGAGATTACCGTACCAACAAACCCAGGGGGGCTTCGCGTTTGCGAGGCTACGGGTGTCACAATCGCGGGTACCCCAGTCAAAGGCTACCAATCCTGAGTCGGTCGGAGGGTCAATTGGTAGCAGAGTCTTCGGCTTTCGAAAGTCATACCTAAGACTTTTAAATAAAAAAGGCAACGCGGGCGAGCAGATGCCCCTGGAGTGTGTTCGTCGTCTAGATAAGCAAAACTAGTGATACGAACAAGGCCAAAAGGAAGGCTAGATGTACATGTGATATCGTTCAGCTGGTAAGATTTGCAAGGAAGAATGTGGCCCATCANTACGAACAAGGCCAAAAGGAAGGCTAGATGTACCTGTGATATCGTTCAGCTGGTAAGATTTGCAAGGAAGAATGTGGCCCATCAAGCTATTCGAACGGGTGTACAAAACCTGAAAAGGAGCAATTTCCATGCCTATTGTTGACTCGGGCTGGAAGGCGCTCCCCAGTATGGCTAGTAGGACCTGTGAGATTAGCGAGACGAGCAGAATGAATGAGGAAATGAGCTGGGTGAAAATGCTGAAAACTGTTGGAAAATGTGGAAGATGTTGGATAACGTGAAGGAACGTTGACAATGTTGGAAATGTTGTAAAACACGGTGTAAATTTTGTGGTGAACCGTGGAAAAGTGTAAAAGGAGAAAGCAAATCTTACTAGTTGTGCGGTCAAGTATGTGTATTCTGGTAGGTTTAGTAGGTTGCGTGACTCGAGCTGGTCAAGCAAGTCTGGCTGGCGAGCACTACTCCAGTCTGCTCAGTAAGGTATGGCCCTTCGGGCAGTATCTCGGGGGCTGTTGTTTAATACCTAAATGCGGGTAGAACTAGCAAAGGTTCAATGTGCAGTTGCATTGCAACCGGGTGCCGGGACCCAAAGAACGGCAGAGATTTAGGTAGGTTTCGGCTTTACCAAAGTGATAAGTGTGTCCGTCCCACACTTCCTTTGGTACTGAAGTGCTTGCATTTCAGGGCAATGATTAAGGCACGAATTAATCCATGAGCTTAACGGGCTCTGTGTAGTTTAGACCGTATACTACGGTAGGTAACCACAATAAACCTGAACTACATCTGTCCAGAAAAGGCGTTTCAAGCATTTGGTGTCAGTAGCTTGGTGGAGATAGTGGAAGTGAAAACACCGAACAGTCACTTCATCCGGGATAGTAAATGTTTGTCTGAATTTATACTGACAGGATGGATTAACTTCGGTTAGAAGGATGTGCCCCCTCTTGGCACTCACTCTTCTTCTTCTTTATTGGCGCTGTAACCGCCTAAGCGAGTCAAAAACAGCACGCCAGTCATTTATCTTCTGTGCCAACTGACGCCAATGCCAAGTGAAGCCAAGTCCTTCTCCATATGTCCTTTCCCTTTCCTCTATTATCAGCATCGCGGCTCGCGTTGAATACTTTCAGAGCAGGAGCGTTTCTGTCCATTCGAACGACATGGCCAAGTCAGCGGAGCCGCTGAATTTTAATTCGCTGCACTATGTCTATGTCGTTGTAAAGCTCATAGAGCTATCGTTAAGTCGCCTTCGGTACTCGCCATCACTAACGCGTAAAGTCCATAAATCTTTCGCAGAATCTTTCTCGAAAGCTCCAAGATCCGCTTCATGTGATGTTGTCATTTTCCATGCCTCCGCGCCATACACCATCACAGGCATGATGAGTGACTTATAGAGTATGATCTTTGTACGACGAGAGAGGACTTAACTTCTCAATTGCCTACTCAGCCCAAAGTAGCACTTGTTGGCAAGAGTGATTCTCCGTTCGATTTCAACGCTGACAGTATTATTCGTGTTAATGCCGGTTCCCAAATAAACGAGGTCATCTACTTTTTATACCCGAGCGCACTTGTGCACAAGGGTATTATAACTTTGTTCACATAACGGTTGTTTGTAACAGGCAAGGAGATATCTTAACGAAACTTGGTACGTGCACTTCTTTTGGGCGTAGGACGGATGGTATTGAAAATGGGCGAAATCGGACAATAACCACGCCTACCTCCCATATA